ACGTGCGTGCGTGTGTGCGTGTGCGTGCTAAAGAGTGCAGTCATATATACGTACGTCTGCATACGGAGTGCATATACACCCATATAATCGCACGTATATATGTGTCTGCGTCTGTATCAGTGTGTCTGTCTGTGTCAAGCGCGTGTCAGAGCAGATTAAACACAGCGCTTGGAGGTCGAATTTCTCCTCAGCTGAATCCTTTTGGTCTTTCTGTGTATGTGCGTGTCTATGTCTGTTGTTTTCTTTCTCTTTCTTTTCTCTTCTCTTTTTTTTTCTAGCTTTTTATATTTTTTTCTATCTTTCTTTTTTCTTTCTTTTTCTGTTTGTTTCTGTTTCTTTTTCTTTCTTTCTTCTTTCTTTCTTTCTCTTTCTCTCTTTCTCTCTCTCTCGCCATCTCTCTCTCTCTCTCTCTCTCTCTCTCTCTCTCTCTCTCTCTCTCTCTCTCTCTCTCTCTCTCTCTCTCTCTCTCTCTCTCTCTCTCTCTCTCTCTCTCTCTCTCCCTCTCTCCCTCTCTCTCTCTCTCTCTCTCTCTCTCTCTCTCTCTCTCTCTCTCTCTCTCTCTCTCTCTCTCTCTCTCTCTCTCTCTCTCTCCTCTCTCTCTCTCTCTCTCTCTCTCTCTCTCTCTCTCTCTCTCTCTCTCTCTCTCTCTCTCTCTCTCTCTCTCTCTCTCTCTCTCTCTCTCTCGGCCTCTTTCTCCTCTGATGGTAAATTTTGGGCGTGAGAGTGGGCGCTTGGTGCGTGAGGTCGTGAGGGTAGGCATGAGGGTGAGGATGGGCGTGTTGTGGGCGTGGGGGGAGGAGGGTGGGCGTGAGGGTGAACGTGAGGATGAGCATGTGGTGGGCGTGGGGAATGAGGTGGGCGTGATGCTGGCATGAGAGTGAGGATGGGCGTGGGGATGGTAGTGGGCGTCGGGAGGGCGTGTTGCAGGCTTGAGTGAGCATGAGGATGAGAGTGGGCGTCTGGAGGGCTTGTTGTGGGCGTATGGGTGAACATGAGAATAAGCGTGTGGTGAGCATGAAGGTGAGCGTGTGCTGGGCGTGAGGTGGGGTATGCGGTGGGCGTGAGGGTTTGCATGCGGTGAGCGTGCGGCGGGCGTGAGGGTGGGCGTGGGTGATCAGGGGCGGCCGGGAGCTAATGAAGGGCCGCCCGTGTACCATTACAGCGAAGGGGGGCTCGCTGTAATTAATATTATATTATATGTTGTATTCCCTTCTGGTGTTCCTCCTCTGGGTTACGTGGAGTGTGTTATGTGCTATTTTTTATTTATTTATTTGTCTTTTTTTATTTATTTGTTTATTTTTTCATTCTTTATTTATTTACTTATTTATTTGTTGTTTGTTTGTTTGTTTGTTTGTTTCTTATTCATTTATTTATCTATTGATTTATTTATCTATTTACCTTATTTTCTTTTTCTTTCTTTCTTTTTTTCTTTCTTTTACTTTCATTCTTTCTCTCTCTGTGTTTCTTTCGTTCGTCTGTTTATTTGTCTATTTGTTGTTTTGTCGTCGTTTTCTCTATTAGTTTTCTTGTTTATATATTTTTTCTGGTTTTATTTTCTACGGGTTTTCTATCTGCTCATGTTAGCGATCTATCTTATTATCTATCAATCATTCTATCTAATTCTTCTTGTTTATCAGCATTTCCCTCTCTATGCTTGTGTGTGTGTGTTATGCATGCGCTCGTGTGCGTGCGTGAGCGTATGTATGTGTGCGTGCGGGTATCAACTAATGTTTAATACGATTTATGGTCATATTTCTGCCTTTAGCATGTGTGTATACATGTGCTTCTGTGCGTGTCTATGTATGTATGTATGTTTGCGTATGTGTATGTGCATGTTTGTGTTGTGTGTGTGTGTGTGTGTGTGTGTGTGTGTGTGTGTGTGTGTGTGTGGTGTGTGTGTTGTGTGTGTGTGTGTGTGTGTGTGTGTGTGTGTGTGTTTGTGTGTGTGTTTGTGTGTATGTGTGTGTGTGTGTGTGCATCCCTAACAGTATAATACGAAGCCTGATCATATTTCTTCCTTTATCACGTGTATATATACACGTGTTTGCGTGTGTGCACCCGCGCATGTGTGTATGTGTGGGCGTGCGTGCGTTTATCCACTACAGTTTAATACGACTTATGATCATATTCCCGCCGTTATCAAACCACAAACACGATTCATCCTCTTATCATCCAATAATTCACTAATCCCGCCCTTAAGACAATCGGTCGTTAGATCTAAAATACCTTCCGCGCCATCCCAGCTTGAGAGCTCCTCACTCATTGGATGATATCTAATCCTTATGAAGCAATCTCGGCCAATCGCATTCCAGTATATCATTTCGAGTCATAAATCTCGATTATAACTGGCTGGCCGTTTATCATCCCGCTGTGTCACCGCCAATCAGCGGCCGTAATCACAATGCTTATTTTCACCGAGTAACTCAAACTGACTATTAGCTTCCCCGTGTTCTTTTGTTGTTTTTTCTTCTTTTTTCCCCTGTCTGTGTAAAATGCCAGAGAAGATATGCCGCCTGGAAGAAGAGAGAGAGGGAGAGGAGAGGAGAGGGAGAGAGAGGAGAGGAGAGGAGAGGGAGAGGGGAGAGAGAGAGAGGGAGAGAGAGAGAGAGAGAGAGAGAGAGAGAGAGAGAGAGAGAGAGAGAGAGAGAGAGAGAGAGAGAAAGAAATGAAGAGGAAGAATGGGGTTGCAAGATAGGTTTAGAGAGAGAGAAAATAAAAGAAAAGACGAGAACCAATAAAAGAGAACAAAAATAAAAAGCACCCCCCCCCCCCGGCCAAAAAAACAAAACCCTAAAAGCGAAACACACAAAATAAAAACACACACTCGCAGCTTGTATTCCTGTTGTTTATTGGGTCATTTGATAAAAGTTAGCTGAGTAATGTAATGTGCGTGTTTGGCGGGAATCCGTTGTGTGTAATGGCGGCAGGTCGATGCGTAACGAGGCTGTTGTCACTGAACTGCTTATGGTATTATTTCCTCTGTCTCTCAAATATTCATTTATCTCACAATCTTTTTTTTTTTCCTTTTTTTCTCTCGCTCTTTTTTTTTTTTTTTTTTTGGAGAGAGAGAGAGAGAGAGAGTCGGGGTTGGTGGGTTTATTGTTGGTTTAATGTGTTTGGTTGAATTTTTATTATTATTATTATTATTCATTTATTTTTCATTTTTTTCTATCATATTCATTTAGGAGGGAGAGATTGGCAGGGGGATTTATTGGACTTTTTTTTTTTAGATATTGTTTTATCATCAGTGTTCATTCTTATTCTTGCCCTTGTCTTTATGCATATTCTTATTCTTGTTTATGTTCATATTCTTAATCTTATCCTTCTGCATATTCTTATTCTTGTTCATGTTCATATTCTTAATCTTATCCTTATTCTTCTTTCTATTCATTTTATATTCTTATTCTTAAGTCCATTCTCGTTTACATTCTTATTCTTAATTATATTCTTGTTTTTTATTCTTATTCGTAATTATATTCCCATTTGTCTTCTAATATTTAGTAATTTTTTTCTATGAAATTAATGATGTATCACATATTTATTTCCCTTTTTTTCTTTTTTTTAGAGTATCTTTTATGTATTCATTCCTATTATTCTCGAATATTTGGTTATCCCACAACTTTTTTTTTTGAGGGGTGGGGTTGGTTGTGTTATTTGTTGTTATTTTTTTTAATTTGTCTTTGGTTGCGTTTTGTTTTATTTTTGTTCTTAATTCTTGTTCTTGTTCTTAATTCCTATTCTTGATTATTCTTAATTTTCATTCGTAATTTTATGGTTATACTTACATCTCGTATTTCTATTCTCATTGGTCCTCATTTTGAGACTTTTTTTTTCGTTTTTTTTTTGTGTGTGCTGTGTGTGTGTGTGTGTGTTGTGTGTGTGTGTGTGTGTGTGTGTGTGTGTGTGTGTGTGTGTGTGTGTGTGTGTGTGTGTGAGACCTGCATGTGGTTTCATTTTCTTTTTGCCGCATGACTCGGATTATCATTACCTTTCTTAGGCTATTCATTGTCATTGTTTTTATTATTCTTTTCTTCTCTTCTTTTTTGTGCGTGTTGGCTCGCGGTGGATATAATCTGACCTAAATCAAAAGTCACTAAAAGTCTTATTGTAATATTTTCTGCTTTAAATATTCATAAGCTGTTTTGTAGTTTGTTTGTTTTTTCTCTCTCTTTCCTTTCTTCTTTCCTTTTCGTTTCTTTTCTTTTCGTTTTTTTTTTTTTTTTTGGGGGGGGGTAAGAAGAGGAAAGGTGTTTCTGATTTGATTTGATTTTGTTTACTCATTATGAATATTTTCTTTTTTTCTAGATAAAAAGAGGAAGAGGAATTAGGCTTCTGGTTTAATGTATATTTTCCTTTATGTCTTTTTTCTTTTTTTTCTTTTTTTAAAGGCAGAGGCGTTGATTTCCATAATTATACTTCATATGTTCATATAAATCAAATATAAATGAATTGTGCTTTCTGGCAGTGAGCAGCGCGCGTAACGTTGACTAACCGACCCTGAGATTTAAAATTTTACTGTCATTCGTATTTAAGTCACGTAAGTCAGGGCTATTTAGGACACTGTTTTTCCTAAGTCAAGCACAAGGGTATTTGAACTTCAACTGGTCATTATATATAAAAAAGGAAAAAAAGAAACGCAAAACTTTTTTTTTACAATATTTTTTTTTCTTTTTCCTCTTCCTTTTTCACGTTTATTTTGCTTTTTTCATTTTTCATCAGTTTTTTTTGGCATATATTAATATCACCCACCCTAGCCCTGTATTTTTACCTTCGTAAAAAGGTATTTTTCCTTAATAGAAGAAGTGGTTTACCTTCGTTTTTTCCTTCACTTTATTTTCCTTTATTTTCGCACGCACAAACACAGACACACACACACACACACGCACGCACATACACATATACATCCATACATACAGACAGACACAAATATACATTTATATGCGAATAAATATCTTAATATTCATCTCCACATATATTTACTTTAGTCCCGTGTATTGCAG